AACACCTGTCTCCCTCAGAAGAATGTTCATCAAGAAGATTGTTTATGTCTCTGGATTATCGGTGCAATAAGCAGCAGCAGGAGGCTCATGCTGGAGGAGAGGGGGCTTTAACACACAATGATTCCCATGTCTCTGGTTCAAAGGGGAGAAAGAAAGTTTAGATTAAAGGTGGTATGAGCTAATTAGACCTGAACTCAAGTGTAAGTAAGTAATGTTTATTGATATAGTGCCTTTCACAGACCAGAGTTGTCTCTCTCTCCACACAGAGATGGGAGCGGGGCCAGTACAGGAGGCTCAGACCTATTGTACATGTCTTTAGTGTTAAGGAGAACTGTAGCACCCGGAGGAAACCTACATAGACACGGGGAGAACATGCAAACTCCACTCAGAAAGGCCCTGTTCTGACCGGGTGTAGAGAGAGAGACAGGTAAAGGTAAGAGTGCAGAAACCAAGTGAGTTTAAAAAGGTTCTGCATAATCTAAAAACTGCAATAACATAAACTATTTTTGTGGAGTCGAAGATTTTCACTTTCAATATAAAAGTCGTTTCCCTAAATTTAATAATAATGCATTGGTTTTATAGAGCGCTTTTTTGGACACTCAAAGACTCTTTACATGTCATTATTCAGTCACTCCAAACACAGTGGTGATAAACTACTACTGTAGCCACAGCTGCCCTGGGGCACACTGACAGAAGCGAGGAAACCAGTCTGTGCCATTGGCCCCTCCCACCACCACCAACCATTCACACACACACCAGACTCATTCTAGGCAATGGGGGTAAAGTGTCTTGCCCAAGGACACATTGACAGCAGACAGTGGGAGTCGGTGGGGAAAGTCTTGAGGTGTACTCGAACCCACGACCTTCAGGCTCAAAGGCCAATGCTCTACAACTGAGCTACTGTCGCCCCAAAAAAATTAATAAATATAAATAAAATACATTTCTGTACTTTGACATTATTGCTAAACGTGTAAATATTAGTGCAATCTTTGACAGGGTTAGGGTTAGGGTGCAGGACTAAAGCACGTCTGGGAGCAGCTTTAAAGCTCTCTCACCTTTAGAAACTAAAGTATGAAGTCCTCAAACTCTCCGTGATGCAGTGAGTCACAGTGACGTCTCCTCAACACGATCTCAGCCTGAAGAGTTTACTTTTCAATGGAAGTCAACGGGAACCAGAGCAATTTGGAGCCAAACTTTGTTCATGAGCACTTTGTTCATGAGCACTTCCCTATTAGGCTTCATGGATTGGCAGTGGTTAGCATTGTCCATCTACAGTCTGTGCTATAAACCAGGACTTAACCAGAACTGAAAACTCAAAACAAAAAAGGTTGAATTTATCTTGTTTAAACAAAAGTATCTGTTTTAAAGACGACCACTGTTTTACAAAGATACAGCGAAATGAATCGAATTTAGAAAAATGGCTACAAAAATAATGTGTTTATTTATTCATTTGACAGGGACAAGTGTTACACAATCAACATATGAAGCACCACAACATTTATAACCACGGCTAATTTCCAATTTCCGTCTTAAACACAGAAGACTTAAACACAATTAAAAACACATTTCACATTATAATATTCACATGATGCAAAAGCAGGTGTCTCCAACTCATTGATGATCACAACTGGTTTGTTTTTAAAAAATTGCTTAAGTTTGTGTTTAAAACCAGCCCAGTCAGAGTTTAATAAGAAATATTTAACTTGTCCCATGCTTTTGAAAAAACTACTTGATTCAAGAATGTACAGCCTGATATTGGACCAGTTTTTACAGTGAACTGGAGCTGAGAGGTTGAATGAGCATGGGCCTGATGCATGGGTCTGTTGCATGGGCCTGATGCATGGGTCTGTTGCATGAATCTGATGCATGGGCCTGATGCATGGGCCTGATGCATGGGTCTGTTGCATGGGCCTGATGCATGGGTCTGTTGCATGAATCTGATGCATGGGCCTGATGCATGGGCCTGATGCATGGGCCTGATGCATGGGCCTGATGCATGGGTCTGTTGCATGGGCCTGATGCATGGGTCTGTTGCATGAATCTGATGCATGGGCCTGATGCATGGGCCTGATGCATGGGCCTGATGCATGGGTCTGATGAATGGGCCTGATGCATGAATCTGATGCATGGGCCTGATGCATGGGCCTGATGCATGGGCCTGATGCATGGGTCTGTTGCATGGGCCTGATGCATGGGCCTGATGCATGGGCCTGATGCATGGGCCTGATGCATGAATCTGATGCATGAATCTGATGCATGGGCCTGATGCATGGGCCTGATGCATGGGTCTGTTGCATGGGCCTGATGCATGGGCCTGATGCATGGGCCTGATGCATGAATCTGATGCATGAATCTGATGCATGAATCTGATGCATGAATCTGATGCATGAATCTGATGCATGAATCTGATGCATGGGCCTGATGCATGGGCCTGATGCATGGGTCTGTTGCATGGGGCTGTTGCATGGGTCTGTTGCATGGGCCTGATGCATGGGCCTGATGCATGGGCCTGATGGGATGATTGACAGCTCTATGTAAAAGCATAGTGTACATTTGCCTTGTACATATTTTTCTAAAAAGAAGAGACTAAAAATATTCTTAATGTTTGTCTAAAATGCAGCTTTACACCAAATCAATGCTTTGCTTAAACTCCACCGGGAACATTTCAGAAGCGTCCGGATCGATCCACAACCATTACAGACGCACACACAAAGCAACACAATGCCACAGTTTAACAGCGACTGTTTTATATTGATCTGAAAAGTGCACGGTTTGTCCTCGCTGCAGCAGCAGACGAGCTCTTTAAAGGATTTCAGACACTAAAGAAAGAGAGCAGAATATATTAGAAGTAAATAAGCTCAGGACAAAAGCTCAGACGCTGAAATGTGAAAATGTGGCCAAAAGTGGTACTGCAGCCTCTCCCACTCTCCCTGACTCAGGTTGCCAGATATGCAGACGAAAAATTTGAAATTCAAATATCTCTGAACTGTTATCAGTTAAAGAAGTATTGGAAAAGAACAGATTATTATTATGACAGATTAGGGCCCTTTAATGATGACAGATTAGAGCCCTTTAATAACGACAGACTAGGACCCTTTAATGATGACAGATTAGGGCCCTTTAATGATGACAGATTAGGGCCCTTTAATGATGACAGATTAGAGCCCTTTAATAACGACAGACTAGGACCCTTTAATGATGACAGATTAGGGCCCTTTAATGATGACAGATTAGGGCCCTTTAATGACAACAGCTTAGGGCCCTGTAAAATCTTATATACTGCTACTTTAACATTTTCCTTGCTCTTTTGTGATGTTAAAACTCAGCAGCAGCAGCGTGTTCCTCTTCACAGACGAGAACCACAGACACTACCTCTAAAAAAAAACATCTGAAGGTGTCGTATCATTAAGACACATTACTCACGGCTTATTACAGAGCTCCTCCGGCTTTGACTCCATTTGTCAGGCAGGAAATGTGCATATTCAGAGTTATTCTCAGTGTTTCCTGTGTGGCGGTTATCTGGGTATTATTTATTAGTCAAATGAAAATAATAGGGCTTTTTCTCAGTCTTTTCTGCGTTACATAAGATCTGTTACGTGTCTTTTTGATGCCTCAGCTCCTGTTTTTCAGCCACAGTCAGAGTCACGGAGGTCGAACCTGCTCAACTCTAATCACTGAAGTCTCCCCGGACCCTCCGCCTGAACTGCTCTGTCTCCTGTGTTCATTGTGTCGGGTCCAGAACCAGCACAAAACCATTGATCCTTGGACTTTTCACAGATTCTGACCGTATTTCATGTTGCACACTCCTGTCTTTTTGCACAAATCTGAGTGATTCTGTCTGATGTGCCAAATGTGATCGCTAAAGTCTTATCTTTAAAAGTACATTTTGCGTACATGTTTAAAGGTACACTGTGTTGTTTTTACTCCCCTCTGACATTGAGATCAAATGTTGTAATTTACGGTACTACGGTGGCTTCGCAGGACAATATGTCGTCTTTGACAATGGTCCCCAACTCCCGGCAAACTCCTTTTTGTCCCTAATCAACCACTGTATTTCAAGATGGCGGATTGACATGTACAGTCCTCCAGCTCTCAAGTCCATTTCTAAGCCTATGACAACACTTCAAAAACATGATGGAGGTAAATATTCTTAAAAAGGTCACATTTGTTATTGGTGAACATGTTTGATCATTTGGAGCAACTGTATAAATCACACAGAGCACCTTTAAGGCTTAGATGGTTATTTCAATGAGACAAAATGAAGCAGTACTTTTCTTCTGTACCTTCTCAGCTTCTGGCCATGTTTTAGTTTTTCCATTTTGTCCTTTACACACTCACATTAGTTTTCTGTTCAAGCTATTTAATTCAATTCAACATATTTTTGTTTAGCCCTACATCCCAACAGCAAGACAGTAAGAGGAAAGTTTATTTGTACAGCACAGTTGATACACAAGGAAACTCAAAGTGACAAAGTAAAAAGATCAAATCCCTCAGTTGTATACACAGATAATCAGATTTGAACAGTGCCAGAGAAGAAGCCTGTCTCACATTTTCAGGAAGACTCTTTGAGATTTTAGCCGCACAAATCTGTCTGTAGCCATCACGGAGGAAAGTTGTCGATTTACCAACAACAGATCAGAGAATACAACAGTTAAAACACATAATACTTTGAGCGATGATGCTACGTAATAAAACCACTTTCTTTTCTGATTCTTTTCAGATGTGGACGACGCCGCAGAGTTTTATGTGGTTTTGCGCAAAGGAAGAAGATAAATCAGTGGTTATTGTAGTTTGACGTCTCGCTGCTGTCATTTACACAAACAGGAAGTGGTTCATTAGAGATCGGCTCAGAACACGTGACGGACGTAGACTTGTTTTCGTGTTCGGTGTGTACGGCAGCTCCTTCAGGCTGTGGAAAAGACATGTGGTCAGTTCTGTAGAAAGCTGTAGAATGGATTATTTCATCTGTATTTAACAGTGAGGAGTTAATTTTATTTTTAATGTTTTTCTTGTTTTGTTAATCACCTTGAGTGTCCTTCTGTATGAACTGTGCTATATAGATAAACTTGCCTCACCATCTGTCTACGTCTTACATTTTGCCTTTTGCCTTAACTATGTAAAACAGGTGTAGGCAAAGCAATGGGCTATAAATATAATGCAATATTTTAGATATTTACATATTCAAGGATTCTTTGAAACGTCTAAATCCTTTGTGGAGCCACAGGTTGGAGACTCCGGGTTTACAACCACAAATAGAAAATAAATTATGAAGCAGAACTGGTTTGGGCACAGTAAACTAAACCAAACCAGACCAGACCAAACCAAACCAAGCCATACCAAACCAGACCAGACCATACCAAACCAAACCATATCAAACCATACCAAACCAAACCAAACCAGACCAGACCAAACCATACCAAACCATACCAAACCAAACCATATCAAACCATACCAAACCAAACCATATCAAACCATACCAAACCAAACTGAACCATACCAAACCAAACCATACCATACCAAACCATACCAAACCATACCAAACCAAACCATACCAAACCATACCAAACCAAACCATACCAAACCAAACCATACCAAACCATACCAAACCATACCAAACCATACCAAACCAAACCATATCAAACCATACCAAACCAAACTGAACCAAACCAAACCAAACCATACCATACCAAACCAAACCAAACCATATCAAACCAAACCAAACCAAACCATACCAAACCATACCATACCAAACCATATCAAACCAAACCAAACCAAACCAAACTGAACCAAACCAAACCAAACCATAACAAACCATACCAAACCAAACCAAACCAGACCAAACCATACCAAACCATACCAAACCAAACCAAACCAAACCATACCAAACCAAACCATATCAAACCAAACCAAACCAAACCATACCAAACCATACCAAACCAAACCAAACCAAACCATACCAAACCATACCAAACCAAACCAGACCAAACCAGACCAGACCAAACCAAACCAGACCAGACCAAACCAAGTGTGAGCGTTCCCTTCTACCTGCTTCAAACACTGGTCTAATCTGTGTCCCACATTTCCACATTAGACAAACGTCCCGAGTCTCTGCAGAGATCACAGACTCTGGTCCACTTCTGTTCTCTGTGTTTTCTGACTTTGAAGAGCTCTGCAGCAGCGCTCAGCCTCTGAGGAAAAGCTTCTGTAAAGTCCAGGTCCATCAGCTCATTAAAGGTGATTAAAGGTAATTAAGTTACTTTGCATGTTTAACTACAAAGTTATGAGCTTCTTTGAACTTACATCAGAATTTTTATGTCCAGATGTAAAGCACATCATCCAAGTCACAAAAGCACAAAGAATAATTATAATACAAAACATTAGCTTTAAAAGAACGTGACTTATGAAGGGTTAAAATATGGATCTAACATTTACAAGTTATACATTTACAGCACAGACGTATGTAAACTGCTCGATCAAATATACAGACTGCAGATTCCCTCTTCACCATAAATTGCTAAATTAAATAGGAATATCATAAACCGAATAATAAACATACATTTTCGGCAAACTACCACGTCCAAAGTTTCTCTATTTCTTTATATATTTTTGAGTTTCCTGCAAAGGATTTTTTTCATAAACGACCAGGCTCCGTATTTGAAGTCTTGAAACTACAGCTGTGGTTTGGTTTAGAATAGAGTAGAATCCTCCTCCGTTAGCAAAGCACATGAAGCTTTAGTCGACAATTTACTGTTGCAGCGTCTCCATGGAAACGACCTCTAAGGCTGTTCAAAAATGTTTTCCCCTTTCGGTACCTGCTTCTCTGTGAACACAGGTACCCAGCCCCATGTTTGATTGTCTAATCTGCTGCTGGCAAGTCAACAATTGTTTGCCGTCCTGAGCATTGTCATAAAACATCCACATGGAGTTTCTGTAGTCCTGGTCCTGGTCCTGGTGCTGGTCCTGGTCCTGGTCCTGGATCATGCAGATCTGGGTCCTCCTTAAAGACCCTGTTTCCGGTGCCGGAGCTCGGGGGAGACTGAGTCCCGGCTTCATTACCACAAAGACCGAGACCGACACTTCTCTGTGAACCTCTCAGACTCCACTCTTCAGAACGGCCTTCGAGTGTAAACAAAACAAACAGGAAGCAGCAAATTCCACAGTATCATCACAGAGCCACAGAAGCTCAGAGCCACAGAAGCTCAGAGCCACAGAAGCTCAGAGCCACAGAAGCCCAGAGCCACAGGAGCTCAGAGCCACAGAAGCTCAGAGCCACAGAAGCTCGGAGCCACAGGAGCTCAGAGCCACAGGAGCTCAGAGCCACAGAAGCCCAGAGCCACAGAAGCTCAGAGCCACAGGAGCTCAGAGCCACAGGAGCTCAGAGCCACAGGAGCTCAGAGCCACAGAAGCTCAGAGCCACAGGAGCTCAGAGCCACAGACGCTCAGAGCCAGAGAAGCTCAGAGCCACAGAAGCTCAGAGCCACAGAAGCTCAGAGCCACAGAAGCTCTCGCCACAGAAGCTCTTGCCACAGAAGCTCAGAGCCACAGAAGCTCAGAGCCACAGGAGCTCAGAGCCACAGGAGCTCAGAGTCACAGGAGCTCAGAGCCACAGAAGCTCAGAGCCACAGAAGCTCAGAGCCACAGGAGCTCAGAGCCACAGAAGCCCAGAACCACAGAAGCTCAGAGCCACAGGAGCTCAGAGCCACAGTAGCTCAGAGCCACAGAAGCTCAGAGCCACAGACGCTCAGAGCCACAGGAGCTCAGAGCCACAGAAGCTCAGAGCCACAGAAGCTCAGAGCCACAGAAGCTCAGAGCCACAGGAGCTCAGAGCCACAGAAGCAGAGCCCAAGAAGCTCAGAGCCACAGAAGCTCAGAGCCACAGGAGCTCAGAGCCACAGAAGCCCAGAGCCACAGAAGCCCAGAGCCACAGAAGCTCAGAGCCACAGGAGCTCAGAACCACAGAAGCTCAGAGCCACAGAAGCTCAGAGCCACAGGAGCTCAGAGCCACAGGAGCTCAGAGCCACAGGAGCTCAGAGCCACAGGAGCTCAGAGCCACAGAAGCTCAGAGCCACAGAAGCTCAGAGCCACAGGAGCTCAGAGCCACAGAAGCCCAGAGCCACAGAAGCCCAGAGCCACAGAAGCCCAGAGCCACAGGAGCTCAGAGCCACAGGAGCTCAGAGCCACAAGAGCTCAGAGCCACAGGAGCTCAGAGCCACAGGAGCTGATGATGTCATGATCAAAGCTAATACTACATTAATTACACAAAATAATGCAGTTTAAAAGTGAAAAATGAAATTCAATATATTTCCAACGTCTTAAGCTTCTGTATTAACTGAGTGTTGTGATGAACCACTGCTGTAGCCACAGCTGCCCTGGGGCGGACTGATGTAAGCAAGGCTATGTGTCTGTGCCATCGGGTCCTGCTCTTCTTCTGGCCCTGCAGATCAGGTTCTCACACGCAGGTTCTTTAAATGTTATTCAACCTTTATTAAGCCAGGGAAGTTCCATCGAGATTAAGAACCTCTTTTTAAGGGAGTGTTGGTTGCAAATGATATATTTTCCAGTCTGACTCGTGGGAGCAGACTCCAACTGCTCCCACTAATGTCTGCTGTCGTTGTGTCCTTGGGCAAGACACTTAACCCCACATTGCCTGAAGCCCCCACTGAAAGACCAAGGCTGTGAAACCACTGATGTAGCATCTTCCTGTGGACCTGTCACCCCCAAGACCCAGAAATGGACTAATAAAGGGGTTGAAAAATGAATGAATGAATATTTTCCAGTTGGCTGGAAGTTTGTAATACATTTTTTTGATCACACTGTTATTCTGTCATTCTTTCTGAAGAGATATGTGCCACGCTATTACATCTGTAGTTAGCAGTAGCTGTATGACTGCCATGCTCAGAAACAGCACCCTCTAAAGACAGGTCTGGGTACAGCAGGTGCAGCTGCTGATAAAGTATAAGGGTTGTATTTGTACAACAGGTGAAGAGTATGAGTCGACAGGTAAAAAACATTAGCAGTAAATGTGTCCTAATTACATAGTTTGTGTAATGAATGAAGGCATGTAGAGCCAAAGCAGCAGGACCGTGATTATTCTACACCTGCGGGTTTTAGAAAGGCCATAAGTATATTTCCTGATCCTGTAAGTGTCTTTATTCCGCCTCTGATCCGTGTTTGAAGCCGGGGCTGTCCTGGCTCCTGCTGTGACTGAGCGTGTGGAGGTGAGAACGCAGAGGAGTGAAGCCTTTTGGAGAATCTCTACATATATGGTCAGTGTTTATGTAAGAGTCCACCCGCGCTGCCTCGACCCGTTTGTTTTTGGAGAAACGTGGCTGTTTTTATATAACAGAAAGAGCAGTTTCTTTGACAAAGCACGAAACCAGAACAATAGCTGAAGGTAGAATCCCGTCATTATGGTCAGACTTTCCATCAAAGACAAAGCTGAGGTTAAAGACTGGACTTTCTGAAGTGTTCTGAACTGTCTGGTCATAATACCTGTTGTTATGTGGCAAAAAAGAGATGAGGCCGAAGAAATCCATCTGAATCGTGAAGCGTGGGGGGCAGCATCATGTTGTAGAGAGCGGGGGTGCACTGGTGGCATCAGGAAGATTTCTCGATACAAATAGGTCAGAAAGAGGTTTTCCAAAAGGTCACACAAAACCCACCAACCTGACAGTTACATACAGTAGTCAGGAGGAGTGGGTCAAAATTCCCCCTACTTAGAAGCTTGTGGAAGGCTAACCAAGAGGTTTGTTTAAAGGAAATCCTCTCAAATATCACTCTGTGCGTAAACTCTGATCCTCTGTGTTCTGATTATTGTACGTCATGAAATGAAATGTTTTTAGTTTTGATATTAAACATGTATTTATTGATTCCTCCTGACCTAGCACTGAAAGTTGTCCTGTGTGCGACAGGATGATGTTTACTTTTACATTTGTAACTCATAGTTCATTGTGTGTTGTGGTGATGTCATGTTTGTGGTGATAAAGAGCATTAATAATGAGTTAGACAGAGTTAACGAAGCGTGACTTTCTCTGATTTACTTTTGACTGTTTCTGTGGTGACTAACTTCACTCTGATGTTTTCTAAGTGAGTAAGTAAGTTCTTGACGTAGAGACGGTTATTGTTGATGAATATTATCAAAGAAGCAAGAAGAGAAACTGTGACTGAGGAGCACTGTTCGGGTTAGCTAATAGGTTAGTTAATATGACCTTAAAGCTGGGGTACCTGACTTTCGAACCACACAAAAGTTAAGCATGTGATTAAAATGGATCTGGAACACGCTCCCACTTCACATCCACCTCAAAACTCATCTGTTTAGACCTGAGCCTCGTAACTGTTTTTAACTGTTTTAAAATGTAAGTTTGTGTAAGCTCTCAGTCGTACATGGGATTAGTCAAAACAAAAAAGGTTTCTCACCATCATCTGTTCTTCTCTGCAGGTTTTCCCGACGGTTTGTCTTTAAACTTTGGATTAAGGATGAAACGTGGGGAAAACCTGCTACAGATGATGGTGAGAAATCTTGCTTTGTTTTGTTTGAAAATGTACTTTTTACTTGTGTTTTAAGGCAACTGTTGGGTTTGTGTTTTTAGCTCTGCTCTGTGTGTGACAGGGGGCGTGGCTCTGCAGCAGGGGGCGTGGCTCTGCAGCAGGTGTGGGCCTCTCACACCTGACCTTGGATTTCATTAGTTCCTGAAAAAATGAAATCTTATTTTGCTTTTGCATTATTCAATAAAAAAATGGCTTCTTTTCTTCTGTTTTTCTCGTCATTGGCACAAAGTCTTGGATCAGATGAACCACAACAGTGACAGTAACGAGCCTCAGCAGTAAAAGTTATTTTCAAACGACTCATGAGTAAATCTTTCTCACACGTTCTTCTCCAGCAGCGTCCTGCGTCACTGAATGTGTGTATTTATATATTTATATATTTATGAATGAATGTATGGACCCTTCTGTCCTCAGGATTCACAACAACAAACACAGAGTTATTTTCAGCTCCTCACTTTCACAGAAACATGTGAAAAAAACATTTATGTAAAACATGAGATTGAAGATAACATTGTAACATCTGAAAAAGTGCTTTGTTACTTTCATGTTTGCATGAGTTTTAGGTCTGATAAATGTTAAAGAATAGATTATTATTTTGTATTATTAATGGTTGAGTTTTGTCTTTTTCGTTCTCTGCAGGTTTAGCTTTAGTTTTACAATTATTATTCATTAATCAGTTTAATGCATAGTTTTATCAAATGCACTTTGCCAAATTTCACTTCTTCATCAAAACAGCCACAACTCTATCTGTCCAAAATAAAAGTGTCTGTATTATATATATGTAACCCAGGCCTGGGGGAAAATGTGGAGGAATTCTAGGGTTTCTTAAACTGGCTGATTCTTTGTCATTTTAAAATGTTTTATATTCTGTGCTCTGCCATTGACGTGTTTATCTGAGACTGGTGATATCTGTATAACTTTCCTCTTTTCGACTGGGGATCACGGGAGAACAAAAACAGCTAGAAACAAGCTTATTTTTGCTGATGAAAGTAGACAGTCCAGTCTTTCAAAATCCATCCATCCATCCATTTTCTTCCGCTTTATCTGTTGCCGGGTCGCGGGGGCAGCAGTCTAAGCAGAGACGCCCAGACTTCCCTATCCACACACACTTCCTCCAGCTCGTCCGGGGGGACCCCAAGGCGTTCCCAGGCCAGCTGAGAGACATAGTCCCTCCAGCGGGTCCTGGGTCTTCCCCGGGGCCTCCTCCCGGTGGGACGTGCCCGGAACACCTCCCCAGGGAGGCGTCCAGGAGGCATCCTGAACAGATGCCCGAGCCACCTCAACTGGTTCCTCTCAACGTGGAGAAGCAGCGGCTCTACTCCGAGCTCCTCCCGTGTGACTGAGCTCCTCACCCTATCTCTAAGGGAGCAGCAACTCTGCGGAGGAAGCTCATTTCGACCGCTTGTATCCGCGACCTCGTTCTTTCGGTCATTACCCAAAGCTCATGACCATAGGTGAGGGAGGGAACAAAGACTGACCGGTAAATCGAGAGCTTTCCCTTTCGGCTCAGCTCCCTCTTTACCACAACGGTCTGACAGAGCTCTGACTGCAGACGCTGCTCCCTCTTTACCACAACGGTCTGATACAGCTCTGACTGCAGACGCTGCTCCCTCTTTACCATAACGGTCCGATACAGCTCTGACTGCAGACGCTGCTCCCTCTTTACCACAACGGTCCAATACAGCGACCGCATCACTGCGCACACTGCACCGATCCGCCTGCATCTCACGCTCCATCCTTCCCTCACTCGTGAACAAGACCCGGAGATACTTGAACTCCTCCACTTGAGGAAGGACCTCTCCACCCACCTGCAGAGGTCCTTTCTCCTTTCAAAATCTGGTTTCATATTTCACATAGGCATAGCACAAAATATTTTGTGGGTCTTGAGAATCAGTGAAATCATCAAAAACGGCTGCAGTCCATGAGTTAATATTGTGTCTGATGTTTCCAATATATTGTAAGGCGTCTTGAAAGCTCCCATGAAATCAAATGTATTATTATTATTATTACTGAATTATTAACCCCAAAAATGTACCACTGTGGACCATTATCGTAACCCTGTCTTTAGTGACAGTAACAGGACATAATGAATGGAGCTGTATCAGTAAACATATTATGTATATTATAAAACTGGGATAAGGACCAGGCTCATATGAAAAAAAGCCATACTGGTCGAGTTGAACCGTGGCAACCCTGGAATATCTCTGTATCTATGAATTGTCCCTTTAGTAAGTAATTAGTGAGTAATTACACGTGACGCTGGGTTAAGTCATCCTGTTTTCTTACAAACCGTGGGATCTAATTTTACTCTAAAAGTGTTGACATCCCCAGCCCCAGTGCGACCCACTCCCAAACTCCCACTGAGCCGTGCCGTACTGGGCCAATAACAAACGGACCTCATTCTCTCCTGCACTGACTCATGCTGAGATTATTATTCACATGTTTCCTCCTCTTCGCCTTCTGCGATCCAGGCCGGTGCTCACAAACCCGCGCCAAGACACACGGCCACAAACGCCCGCTCGAGGTTATCCCTGTTCGAGAAGCACCCAGAGCCACCCACAGACACATATCATCACACACAGGGAGGGAGGGGGGAGGAGAGGGAGAGGGAGGGGGAGGAGAGAGTGAGAGAGTGAGGGAGGGAGGGAGGGCAGGGCGATTCCTGTGAGCGCGGTTATGTCTATACGAGGATGAACGCGCGTGTGTCGTTGTGCTTTTGGGCCATAAGACGCACCTCCGCTTCTCATTGGCTGCAGGGGGGAGGCCGTCAAGGTGCGTGTGGAAGGGAGGGGGGAGGAGGGAGTGACTGGACGGGAGGGAGGGGGGAGGGAGCACCCGGAACAGACACTTGAGGCGCGTTTGCAGAGAACGTGAGGAACCACAGAGTTCACCACCGACTGTTCAGCCGCAAGTGTGATTTGTGCACTTGGAGAGCGTGCAGGAGCGTGCGTGAGCGTGCATGAGTGTGCATGAGCGTGCAGGAGCGTGCAGGAGCGTGCGTGAGTGTGCATGAGCGTGCAGGAGCGTGCAGGAGCGTGCGTGAGCGTGCGTGAGCGTGCGTGAGCGTGCGTGAGCCATGACACCTGTTGCATTGGCGGCGGTGCATTGCCATACAACATTATTTGAAGAACGGTATTTTAAAGTGCCTCCTCCAGGATTGATATCATTTGAATGCAGTCATTAATTAACATATGCATTGACCCTATACGTATATGGTCATGTCCCTGCGTGATGTCAGCTCTCATTTGCATATTTCACAAATTAAAGAAACACATACTGAACTTCTGTGCCTGCGTTTCACTTGGTATTTGGTCAAAAATCATTCAAATAGATAAAGCGTCATCAGGGAGTTTGCAAAAGACTGACTTGTTCTGTTTGTGAACTTTGAACATTAAAGTTGGAAAAAGTCTTGAGATGTGCGGGAAGTTTGACTCAACCAGTGACATAATCAAAGTATTCATTCATTAAGAGAGATCTATAGACTCACTTCAGACTATATCAGGTTCAATGACTTTTGTGATTGACTGAGCTGCAACATATTATTTTCATTCTAAAGAGCAGTTACGTGCACGTGTTTGCAGCCGTGACTGTGTGCGTGATGCAGGATGTTTCTGAATATAATCAGGAGTAACAAACTATCACTATATTCATATACAATCATCACAGTGTAGATACAGATATGTGAGCGCGGTCCCTGTGATCCGCCCCGAGCTCCGTCAGAAGTCTGCGTTCTCTCCTCAAACACAGGGTCCAGCCGCGGGAGAGCTGCTGCCGTGATGCTGCTCTTTCCGGTGCCCATAGCTCTGGCGTTGATATCTGCGTATGTTGGCTGTTCACAATGCTCCAGCCTCAGTGATCCCTCCCCTCTCCCTCCTGGATGCTGCTGACTCTCTCCTCTCTCCCTCCCCTCCTGGATGCTGCTGATGCTGCTGACACAATCTCACACATTCGCCTCCTCCACGCGCAGTCCCGGGGCCCCTCCCGTGCCTGTTGCTGTCTCATTCACTCCGTACGCGATCCACGCACGGACTCTGCGTTGGGAGGGGCGGGGTGGGATATATACCACTAGGAGCAGGCCGAGAGCTTCACTGAGACTGGACCCACTTGCAGTGCAAAGACCACAAGCAAGAAGACTCCGAAGCCGGGAGTAGAATTACCAACACCTTTTTACCTTGGAGCTTAGAGAGACAGGCGATACCACTGCTTTTTACTCGCATATGTGGACTGTCTGCTGTAGTTTGGAGCTCTAGAACAAACCAATTCGGAACTCTTCGCTATATTCCGTTTGGATATAGCATCTAAACTGTGTTGGTAGTAAACTCTTTGGAGTTTGGCAAGAGTCATTTCATAATTTCTTTGCTTGTGAGAGTGGACTGCACTGAGACTTGGGAAATTCGACCCTGAAACCGATTGGGGCTTGGACCAGCCTGGCGCAGAGCAAGACTTTTCTGACGTGAAAAGTTCTTCTTTTTGGCCAGACTTTACTTCCGCTGCCACCGAAGAAGTTTTTTGAGTTTTTCTCTCGGTTGCTGCTGCCCAAAGGCGGGACAGAGAGCAACTGACGACGATACTTCAAAAATACTTATCAAGGTAAGAACAAGTTGTGACTAAAACTGTTTTGTGATTTCAAGAGTATTCACTGTTGCTTGTTTCTCTGTGGGCCTGAGTCTGTCGCTGTCCGTGGTGCTGAAACTTTTCCGACATTGCTCAACTTTCCTTCACTTGGTTTAATGTTCATTGCTGCAGTTTCCGGCGTGAAAAATGACTTTGAACTGTTCAAACTTACAACACCACAATAACTTACCACTGCTTTGATCCCGGGTCTCTCATTCAGGCAGTTTGCTCTGTTGTGATGCAAACACGAGGCTTTATGAAACACATGATGGTGTTCTACTGCTGTCACTACTTTACCTTTACATTTACAATCACAGGTAACGACAACCAGACAAAGGCATCAGACACAAAGTCAGCCAGTTAGACCGTTGTTAGATTAAATAGACTCTTAACTCTTATTCAATTGATGCATTTGACATTCTACTGCTACATACAAGTGTAATGTGCACAGAGACATGTCTTTATCAGCTTCAGAAAGTCTGTTGTACGTGACATGAATAATGTGTCAGTAATTTAGATTCACTCTGTACTGTTGTCACAAAGTCCATTTTACTTTTACTTTTCTCCGAGGCTCCTCTTGCCTTAACACCTGCTCTCTCTCTTCAGCATGTTTCAGTGTGAGCTGTGTCCACTGATGTGTTTTGTGCTGTCGCATGTGTTCATGGTTTACAAAGCTGCAGTGGCCTGGATTTTGCTGCACGTGCGCAATTGTCAGCCTTTTGGGAACAGAAAATTGACAGTAATTGGAGGAAGAGAAATGACTTGCAGCAATTTCACTTGAGTTTGCACAAGAAAACTGCAAGGACAGAATAACAGTCTTTATCATCCTGACAGTAAAAAGCCTCATACATTTATGTCTTTCAACACTTAGGGCTGGAATAGTTGTCAGATTGTTATATTTGTATGTTCTTTAAACCCCAGCAGAAGCAGGGAGTATGATGCTGATGGTCATTCTAACTACAGACACACAGGTGTTGAGCTCTGAGGCTGTGCACACAGAGAGGGGGGGGCACAGGGTCTGAGGGAAGTTAACAACAGCTGGACTCACTCCGAGCCTCATCAAATGCCCATTCATGGAGCTCCCGGAAGCAGAGGGAGGGGGAGCGAGCACCTCTACAAAGTGGAGGTCTGAGCAGTGGCTCTCTGGAGGGGAGGGGCTGACAGACAGACAGCAGGACAGGGAGGAGAAGTGAAAGAGATGTGTAATTATGAATTCAATGCCTGAAAAGTGCAGGTGCTTCAACAACTGTGAGTCTGTATAAGCGACGGTGAAGCTCAGCGAGACACACTGCCCCTGTCTTTGTGACAACTCTCCCGCTCTCTCCGGTACAAACTACTTCAGTTTGTGCAGATGAAGCCAGATTTCATTTCATTTCATTTTCATCGCTTTGATGAAGCCAGATTTACCATAAAACATGGAACACTGTTGCTGAGCAACACCTGAACATATTCTGCACAACAGAAGAAAGCAACAATGCACTTGGCACTGAACAGGTTTTGGACAGATTAATGAGGATCTGAATAAATCCAATGTGCAAATAAAATAATGCTTCTGCAAAAACAACATGTTCATGTGGTGGAATTATCAAAAACACTTGTTAAATGTCACAGCTTGATGCACAATCACACTTAGTTTATTTGGGAGACAGAGCGTTTTACAAGTAATGAAAGAGGCGTCTGTGGTTGCCAGTGGCGATGGAGCCGTGGACGTCATATTGACGCACATGAACGTGTTTCAGTGCAGTGTGTGGGCGGAAAAAGCGAGCAGCGAGATACCAGCCGACTGTGAAGGACTGTAATTGCAGAGTGAGTGTAATTACGTCCCTGAGACTGGGCATTTCAGATCAGTGAGTCCACCCAACGTGACACTGATCAGATGCAAATACCTCATGCAAACCTTCACACAATGGAGCCAATTAACATGCATCAGATGATTAATGCACAGAGCTTTGTGTAACTCAACAGTTGTTTCACATGAATCACCTTCTCCTTTTGTTTGTCCCCATTTCTTTCAGCTGAAAGATGACAGTGTTCTTACTTTAAACCACTGACATCTACAGACAGAGAGAAGAGTCAAACCATCTCAGAGGAGTGCAGTAACTTGCAACAAAGAAGTTTTCACATTTTAAAGCCTCTATAAAAGCCGGCCCAATGGAGCGGTCAGCTGTCTTCGGCCTTTCTCTGGCCCTTGTCCTGGTTTTCTTTGGTTCGACCTCTTGCAATCCCTCCGGACCGGCCTCTCCCACCTGTGCCACGCTGGAGCAGAGCAGATTTTTCGGCGTCTTCTCCTCCACCACGACTCTCCCCTCAGCTCCCTGCTCGTGGACCCTGCAAAACCCCGACCCTCGCCGCTACAACGTCTACATGAAGATCACCAAACCCACGGTCACCTGCGTCCCCCGGCAGATCCGCACCTTCCAGTTCGACTCCTTCATCGAGACCTCCCGCACCTACCTGGGCATGGAGAGCTTCAACGAGGTCGTCAGGTTGTGCGACGGATCCACCACGGTCACGTACCTCGAGGCCAGCAAGCAGTTCCTTCAAATGCGCAAAGTGGCTCCGACCAACGCCCTGGAAGTCCCCGAGGATGTCAGCGAGTTCAAGGCCGAGTTCCTGGTGGTTGGGAAGAGGAACCCCAGCATGCCCGCCTGCCAGATGCTGTGCCAGTGGTTGGAGAAATGTCTGAACAGCAGCACCCATGACTACCCCTGTGGCATCATGAACACCCCATGCCAATGCTGGGAGACCCCCAAGAGGAAGCCTGGAAGCTGCTACAGAGGAGGAGTCCTGGTTGACAAGTGCCTGACTGCTCCCAAAGACCTGGGACGTGATGCTGAGATAATCAGTAAGTAACATTACTGTCTAGCAAACATCACATACTTTGATTTTTAACCATAGGGCTGCATGCCTCAGGTCAGTTTGAATCTTCTCCTGTTAATTTGACCCTGCACATGTTTGGCATCTGTGTGACTTTTGGGCTAATGATCCCACTTTACAAAGCCATTGATCCAAGCAGCAGCTGTTGAAAAGTAAATCTAAGGTGTTAGGGAGATCTAGCAGTGCAACTTTGGGCTTAAGTGGTAAAGCTGCCCGGAGGCACACTCTCATTTGCCAAGCATCCATTTTGTCAAGTCTGAGATGGGCAGAGAGAGAGAGAGACAGGGCATAAGTGTGTGTCTGGGAAAAAGGCACAAAGACCTCACAGTGAATCGAAGCGAGGCGACTGCGTAACCATGGTAACACACCTGTTGCTCCTTACAAGTCTGTCAAAGGCAAAAGTCAGTGTCAAAGTAGTGCTATACATTCTATATAGGTCAGATTCAGCTCCCAGCCGTGCTTTGCCACGCATCGATTCCCTGCAGACGTACAGTATGGCCATGTCTAACTTAATTTGCTTTTCTTTTGTGTGCGTTGCAGAAGGCTGGGCCACCTGGGGGCGCTGGTCAGTGTGCAGCCAGGAGTGTGGTGAAGGGGTGCAGGTGCGTAGCCGCGGCTGCCAGCCCAATGAGGCGGCGTGTGAAGGGACAGTGGAAGAGGGACGCTCCTGCAACCCTCAGCCATGCATCGGTAAGAACACCTGTCATTACAACTAATCTGAAAGCACTCCACTCCAGGTGCATTACAATAACACTGTCATTTTCTTATTTCACCAGGAAAAGAACGCAGTAAGAGCTCAGGCTTGAGGGCAATCGTTGGAATGAGAGGAGATGACGCTTCCAGCCAGGGACTTGTTGCAAACCCAATTGGTAAAGACACATTTCAAAACCAGCAAACATCGACAAAACCTCACTTTGCTCTTGAAGATTAAGCTCATTGTTTGGATTTCTTATGTCCACAGATTACCAAACTGATGCCTGGTCTTCCTGGAGCTCCTGTTCGCAGACGTGTGGAGAGGGGTGGCAGAGTCGCAGCCGTGTGTGTGCCACCTCCTCCTTCTCCACCCAGTGTGTCGGACCCCTGAAAGAGACCCGTCCATGCAACAACTCCGCTGTCTGCCCCGGTGAGAGCCCAAAGCCTTTCCCAGCACATGCACATGAGTCTGCAGCAATTTCAAAACATTCGCCAAAATTATGGAGAAGAAGTAGTGTTTATCCCACAATTAACACAACCATTTTTCTGCTTATAATTGCTCCTAATCATCCAGGCTCCTTTCAGCAGCATTTGAAGACTGCTTCTCTTTTCAAAACTAAAACTTACACAGCACTAGTCATTTCCCAACACTCTGAAACTCATGGGTATCATTTGCATATTAAGCAATGCCACTTGGTGAATACTCAAAAAGAAAACCGTTTGCACACCATGGCTATATAATCTCATGCAGCCATTGCCCCATCTGGTGGACACTTTCTGAACTGCATTTTGCGTCATTTCCAGTGGATGGTGCTTGGGACGACTGGGCCCCTTGGAGCCTGTGTTCTTCCACTTGTGGCCGTGGGTACCGTGACCGTGTGCGCACATGCAAACAGCCTGAGAACGGAGGAAAACCATGCGGGGGCCTGAACAGACAGACCAAGTTCTGCAACATCGCTGTGTGTCCAGGTAAATGCACAACAACGTAATCAAACAAGAAAGGGCCCCGGAAGTGCAGAGCCTTTAATTAAACTAAATGACTGACAATTACAGCGGCAGGAAGTAGAGGCAGTATAATGTGACTCACCTCCGTAATAAAGAGCTCTTGTCAGTGGCTTCATTGTCCTGTTGGTGACTCAGAGCGTTCATGGTCCTTCAAACTATCAGTTATTTTACCTCACACATTTAAGCATAAAGGATTTTCTTCCAATTTCACAGTTAAATGTCTTCACTTCATACAGCTTCTTAATTGTCCTACACTTAACCTCGACTCTTTTAATTGAGTTCACGCACACATCTTTTCATCTCAACACTGCACCTGCGTCTTCAGGTTGTTAATATGTTTCTAACTGTGTCTTTGGCGCCCCCCAGTGGACGGACATTGGAACGAGTGGACCGCTTGGAGTAGCTGCTCTGCCTCTTGCTCAAATGGGACCAGACAAAGGACAAGAGAGTGCAACGGGCCTTCCTATGGGGGCTCCGAGTGCCACGGCAGCTGGAAAGAATCTGACAACTGCTTCCTCAATGAATGTCCTGGTAAAAAAAACAAAAATTTTCAAGAATCATATTCGTAAATACTGTCATTGTGAACAAAAAAACATATTTAAGTTTTTATATTTGTGCGATTGTAGTTGATGGACGTTGGCATTCGTGGACCACCTGGGGCAGCTGCAGTAAGACCTGTGGAGGAGGAGCCCAGCTGAGGCAGAGGGTCTGTGAGGGTCCCTTCTTTGGTGGTGACCCCTGCAATGGAGACAACAGGGAGCAGAAGAGGTGCAACGAGAAGAGATGCCCTGGTGAGAGCTCATCCCGGTCCCTCATCACAGAATCTGAACGTATAATCCAGTCCAGTGCTAATGTGTGTGTTTATAATGCTGTATAGAGCCCCATGAGATCTGCCCAGAGCAAAACTCAGGCGATATTGTGTGGAAGAAGACCCCTGCTGGTGACATGGCTGCGATCCCATGCCCTTCTGATGCCGCTGGTAAAAACAACCTCCTAATTTGACTTGTAAATCGCTCTAGTACAACGCAGAATGCTGATGTTTTGTGGCTTTTCAGGCCTCATTCTGCGCCGCTGCACTCTTGACGCGGTCGGTCTGGCTTTCTGGGAGAACCCAACTCACATCAAATGCATTTCCAAGAACTATGAGAACATCCAGACCCTGGTAAGAAGCGGAAACATTGCAAGTTAAAAGGTCTGCATGGATTGTTTTTGTGCAGAGATGAACCGTTTACCTTTTTATGCTACAGTCTCGGGACTATAACGCCAAGGCACAGATGGGCCAGAGCGTAGATGGGATCGCTGAGGTGATTTCACGCCTCAGATTTTCCTCGGATGAAGGAGCCAAGTACAGCGGGGACCTGATGGCAGTTATGGAGATCCTTAAAAATACCACAGAGCTGTACAAAGCCACCCGTCTGAGGCTGAGCAATGCGGACGTAGAGGTAAAGAAGAAGCTAAATTCACCAAACTCGACTCAGCCTGTTTTCTTTTGACTGGTCCACTCACATTTGCACTTCTTAATGATCCGCAGAACTTTGTCCAAACCATCAGCAACTTACTGAAGGAGGAGCACCGTGACAAATGGGAAGAATCACAACTGGTGAGTGATGAGAGGGTGTCCGTGTGAGCGAATGGGAAAAATATCATGTACTTGAGATGTGAGTGAGAGATGTCGGCGGCAGAGGCTGTGAAAGATGAGACACTTTTGGGGAGGTTTCGTAACTTAATGACACTACAAAAAAACATTTATAATCATATTTATACAAGCAAAACTCCTGTAAGGATTGATCCACAAATGTACAATACCCATGAAAGATTAGATACAGCAGTGAATCATATTGAAGCAACAAAACAGAAAACTTGTTGCTTATTTAACAAAGAATTGAGCCTTCGTGGTGCACGTAGCAGCAACAAAGTACATCGGAAGAAGACTTGAATAGAGTTAAATTGGATTAGTTGAATGGCGGAACCCTGCAGCAAAGGAGAAAAGTGTTTCAAGGTGACACATAGAGAAATTGAATCATTCACTCTACAACGTACGTGAAAGCACCATCCCACATGTCGGGGCAGCGCAGAGAAACCAGTGAAAGGTTTTTGGGTGGAGATCATTTACGCCCACATCGCTGCGGCCCTGCGTCATTGAACACGCAAGCGAAGGCAGCCCTCCCTTTCACCGCACACGAGAGAAACACGCAGGAAAAAAGAAAAAGAATGAATCAGCTTGACCATTTATGGGCGTAGGGAAGTTGTTCAGTTGCATAGCAGCAGCAGCAGCAGCAAAAGTAGTTTTCTATCAACGATTTTTTTTCTTTTTTTCCACTGCTGCTTGGTGCAATGACTGTGGTGATGACTGTACAGATACCAACCTATTCTTCACACTTGTTGAAATCATTAAACTATTTTGCATTGTGTTTGTGATGTGCAGATGGGGGCCAGCATCAAAGAGTTCCTCCGCCTGGTTGAAGACTTTGTGAACATGATCGGAATGCAAATGAGCGGCTTCCAGGACATTTATGAAGTCACAGAGAATTTAGGTGAGTCCTCCAGCCTCTCCCCCCGGGCCGAGGAGAGCCAATCCATCTCAATTCCACCTGCGAACGTGTGTCCTTACAAGCAGAGAACAATAATAATAGAAAGTCCCCTCAGCGCAGCCTCCAGCGATGAGCAGCTGGCTGTAGTGTGTTTGGCATCGCACATAGATGCCCTTTGCAAAGACTTATGAAGCTGTCACAGGCTGTAGAAAGTGTAATTCTGACACACTGAGTCACTCTTGGTGCTGTTCTCACTGATTGAACTGCAAAATACTGCCACTATTCTGGTCGCTGTAATGACGCATGGGGCAGAAATGTGTCCGAAATGTGTTGAAATGTCCCCGTCCTCACTCAGCCTCCCCGTTCTTACCAAGTAATCATGAGTTTTTGTCTTGTTTCTTGCAGTGATGAGCATCCACAAGCGCCCCACCAGCACCAACTCCAACTTCACTTTGCCCGTTAAAGGATGGAGGGGAATGTTGGACTGGGTCAGGAGCGCCGAAGAGAAAATCACAGTGAGCCGCGATGCACTGTCCCTTGAACAAGCCGGTAAGCATCTCATTTATTTCATACAGTAGATAGATATTTGGTAGAATTCATGTGAAGATTGCAAAAAACACTCATGCATTTATTTTGTTTCTAGATGGCAATGATGCGTATGTGACTGGCATCGTCCTCTACAAAAACCTTGCGTCCATCCTGTCTTTCCAAAGGTAATTAAATTTTCTCATTTGCTCAAAGCTGCCATACCGTAGCTCTAACACAAGATGGCGCACTTGCCTCAGCACTCGTAATCATCTCTCCTTTTGCTTGACACCAGCAAATACCGCATCCATGCAACAAACCCATGAGCACCTGTTTATAAGTCCATGCTCTGACATTATCATTTCTCTGTGTGTTCGCAGCAACGCCACATTATTCAACTCTAAAGTGGTGACCGTCATCGTTAGCCCAACTCCAAACCTGCTCTCGTCTCCCGTCGAGATTGAGTTCCCTCATCTCCACAATGTAAGACAATCATGAAAACTAATAATGCACATTCTTTTGCACATGTTTTTTGTCCACATGGAGCAGAACCCCCTCTGCTCCTCTGCCTGTTTACGGCTCCACACTGCCCTAGCGAGCTCCCTTTGACATTTATGTGACATTTAACAGTGACTTTATGTCTGTGAGACGGGGAAAAACTGCTAAGATCACACCGCAAATGAGACGGCATTAATTAGCTCCCAGCGAAAACCTCTTTAGCAAGCGATAAGGGGGAGGTATGTGTAGAGTGTGTTGAGCATGTGGATGACTGACAGCCCATGGGTTTTGCACTTACAACATACACACATATATATTTAGAGTTTGAGATGTCCTGAGTCCCAGCCTACACACTTCCCCTCTAAACATTCTGCTCTGCTGTTTTTATAGGATACTATGAACGAGACCTGCCTGTCCTGGGACGAGAGCGAGACGTAAGTCCTGTTTAAGATCTTTCCCTGTGTCCTCTCAATGTTGAAAAACCTGCACAATATCCTGACATATTATTAGAAAAATACAGATTTAACAAAGTAATAACCATGCAGTGAGAAGTATCTACATAAATGACAACCAATACTTTTCAGTCTTTGTGATGGTGAATATCAGACGTGTGTATTGTGCAGACTTTTCTCATTCTACTTCCTTCTCTCCATCATCTACAAACATAAATAGCCCCGTTAATCCACCAGTAGTTTGTCAGTTCGCAACATGCCACTCACTTCTGGCGACTAGGACACAGAAATGCCACCGCGCTTTGACCCAGAAGCCTCAATCAAAGTCCGAAGCATTTCTGCCGTGACATAGAGACTTAGAAAACGACATCTTTAATCTTCTTCAAAACAAGGCTGAATGACACCTTCTTTGCTTCTGAAAGTCAGAAAGGTTAAAAGAGCTCCGGCTTTGGGATGATATGAAAGATGGATCCTCGGACAATGCACACGTTGCTGAGGTTTTGTGATTAGATTAGACTTAGATTTGTGCCGGAACAGTTGCAAATGGATTTAGCAAAACATTTCAACATAAGGAAAACAGTGCCTTTATAGTAGACCACTGAAAACACCAGTCAAGGGGAAGAGTCATGACTAAACTTCATTACCTCCTTCAGATGAAACATATTAGATCAATCCGGGAAGATCAAATTAGAATAATGAGAGGATATAAACCTGAATGAAGCAATGAGGTCATTTGGATCCACTGTAATTGCTCCCATTTCAAAGACAAAGATGATTAGAAGAACATTTGCAAATTAACTTTTAGTAATGGACTTAGGTGATGTCTCAAAGATAACAAATCCAGAGGCGTATGTTCAGAGGAAGGGAGTAAAAGTCATGTATTAGTCAGACTTACAGGAGTTATCGGTCTCATCCTTCCCTTTGTCTGGACATATTTACTGTTATGTTGTTGTCTGCTATGTTAAAATGATTCTTACCCCAAAAATCAGAAGCATTTTTACCAATCAATCCATCTCTCAAGAAATAACACATTTTTCCCATAGCTAGTAATGAGTGATTGATTTAATGTCTTATGTAAGTCTAATAAGTTTGATTCTTTGTGACTGGTCCAAATGAAATCCAATACCTTGTAGCCATAAACACATTTTAATTCAAGTCATTCCAGGGGATATGAGCGACTTGTAGGAACATATAGAAGCAAAGCCAGTGACCATTGTGTCAAGCCACGTTTTTTCATCACACAAAAAATGAAAGGAAATCGATATTGCTTCTGTGAGCACGCTCTGGCGCTGTCTAACCCACTGCTCTCTGCCTCCCTCCTCTCCCTCCTCTCCCTCCTCTCTTTCCCCTGTGCAGTTCCTCTCTGCTCGGCTCTTGGTCTGCGCGGAGCTGCAGAGCGGTGCCCGTCCATTCGCACAGAACCAAATGCGTGTGTGACAGCCTCTCCACCTTCGCCATTTTAGCCCGCGTCAACTTCGACTCGGTAAGATCTCCGCACCTTTCTCCACGTTTTCAGCCCATGTGTGTTTGAGCAGCAGTGTTGGTCTGTCTATGTGTGTGTGTGTGTGTGTGCATGTGGGTCTATGTGTGTGTGTGTGTGTGCGTGATTGCAGTGGTTGTTGATGGTGTTTTTTTCCCTCCCATTGTATTGTCTTATGCATTTGTCATGTATTATTATTGATTACATTGTCGTGTGTCAATAAACCATTCATAATCTGACAGAAAACCTGAACTGAGCAGAGCAGGTAGAACATATATTTGCATATTTATAGATAGTATATACATTAAATAGACCCTTGCACACATTTTGCATTGATCTTTCTCAATCAAAATCACTGTCGCAAATTTTACAAACTGCGAACAATGCGGCAAAAAACAAACCACCATCCAACGCCTTTTCGTGCATTGCGGACAAGACAATGCAATTTCCCCCCGTAGACTGTATCTCCCGATAAGATGCCGCTCGCTCTCTCCTCCTGTTGCCTTGGTAACGGCTTCTGCAGCGCGAGCTCGGCCTGCGCCTCTTTGATAAGTGAGGAGCTGGCGGGCAGCAATCAGGGGGCTGTACGCGGACCACAGGCTGCGTATCCGTGTCCAAATATCCCTGAGGTTAAAGGAAAAGAGCCTGCTTCTCCCATCAGTCTCAATGCCTCACGATCAACAGATGTTTATGGGCAAATGCAGTTATCTAGAGAGGTGTAATCGTATTTACATAGACATGACACTTGGCTCTGTCTGTTTTTTCTTTCTTTTATTCTATCTTTTCTTATTCTACGCACGCTCCAATAGTGGGAAGATCATCTGTGCACCTGTGTATGCCGATATCTGTTTGAATTCTTTATTAGCTCGGCCGTGCTCTCCCCCTCCTCCACTGCTTCCCTTTCCCCCCATGTCCTACCTATCTCCTTCATGTTCAAGTTTGGAGACGGACCAATGCAAGTCAATTGTCTGGTCATGCCCTGGTGGGATGTATGCCCCCCCCCTTCCTCGTTCCATATACCCCAGTCCTTTTGATGTGGGCTTTTCTGAAAAACATATTAATAACTCAACACATGGCCCTGTACATTTGCCTGTGTGTATTACAGACCGTACAGAAAGCATTTACCCCAGCCTCATATCACTGCAGCCCATGCCCTTGACCGCCAGTTAGTCTCACTCACTTTCCCTCTGACAAACGATCGCAACCAACTTCTTTTCGCTCCAGTCAAGTAGCTTAGCCTGATTTTCAACCTATAAATAACAAATTTGAGGTCAAGGACATCACACTGGCAGAAGAGAGGCTCTATATTTTGGCAAACTGTCTCGTCCCCTCTCCAAGTCCCCGACGGTGCATCATGATCAACCCAGATATGGAGTGAGAGGGAACATAGTGTATTCTCAGGAGTTTTTTTGGTGTTAGAGTCAGAAGCGAGGAGACATCTTGCGGCTTCTTTCGCCATCTGCTTTAGGGGCACAGGCGATAAAACCAAGAGAGAGATATCTTCTTTCCTTTCCAACAAATTTGCCACAGTAAATTAGGCTTGTGCTGCCATGGGCTTTCCTACCCCAGCTGTGCCCGTATCACAGAATCCAGCATGGAGCTCATTTTGACCGATCCGTAATAAACCTCGGTATTAAAATTCTTAGATGTTATCAACAACGGGGACAACGCATTAGCCAAAATGACTCTTGTGCTGTTGCGGTATAACAATTTATGGGCTCATAAATCAAGCCAAGGCCAAGGCGCGTCTATTCTTTCCCCCTCGAACGGTGATAATTTGATACCTCGGATTTATTACAGCCGAGAACATTATCGCACCTTCCTCTGCTCTCCCTTTTTAACACTTCCAAATCCCTATATTTAAACACGATCAGTGCTTATTTCAGTCGTGCAAGGCAAAGACAGCTCCATCAAAGGTGTTGGAAAAAGTTGTATAAAGGCTGTAGATGCAAATATGAAAATCACACTTTGGATTAACTAAAGCTTAATCATGAATTAGGTGGTCCAGCCAAGATTAAGGTGCAAAACTATCATTTAAAACCATGTATACAGAAGGTGCTTGTCAAATCCATAGGTGATAATGTCCACCTGTAGAGTAGCACATATGGCAGCTTATTTAGAAGCAAGAATCCCTCCCCCCTTTACTCTCATCTCCATAATTCATGATTTCGCTGTTAGAAAAGGACCAATTTAGCATCAATTCCCCCTGAAGTCATCACTCAAACTTTTAATTTATACAGACCATAAACTCCCCTTTAATAATTGCGCAACATCGTCATTTCTTTGCTTTATTGCCCGGGCCCTTGACACCCAATTGAGCCGAGCACCTGAATACCACCGGGAAATACTGTATCAAGATGCCTTACAGGAAAGCCCGGTGTATAGGTCAATCCATCCCCACACTGCAGCACCTCAGGGAATGGAATGACCAGCCTCCCACACTCTCCGCGCTGCTTATAAAGAGATAGATGCATACGGTTAGATTTCCTCTTCCACTACGCCTCATTTGCTGACTCAAAAGCTCCAGTGGACAAGCGCAGCGACCCAAGTAATTTGTTTAGTTTGCCTTTCCATCTTTCTCTGACATGTTCACCTTGCGGTAACCTTGCCCGGCTCCTGGCCTGATTGTGTCGTTCGGATGTTGCCCAAAAGGCGGCTGTGTGTCTGCGAGCGTAGGGCTACATGTGCGTGTGTGAATGCCCAGCGGCGTCTATGTCTGTTTGGCTAGTTCTCGTTTGTGTATTTATGCACGAGATGCACGAGATACAGACTATTCGACGCAGGAAATTACAAAAACCTCTGCATGGTTTGAAAAGAGATTGGTTCGAAGCAAAAATCTTGTTCTAATCCAATCCCCTCCCATCCATTCAGACATATACTTCAATACAAGAAAAAAGAATCAGAACCCTACAGTACCCTCCAACAAGACATCTATCAGTCAATGACACACACACACACACATTAGCACCAATGACAATAGACAGACAAGACCAAGACACAACAATGTTCTCCTTCACACAGACAAGACCCAAAACACAGTCGTTCTAACAAGCCTTTCCCTTTGTTCTCTCTTTGCCACAGATCATGGATAAGTCACTTCTTCCCTCCGTGACCCTCATCGTGGGCTGTGGGGTTTCTTCTCTCACTCTGCTGCTTCTCATCATCATCTACGTATCAGTCTGGAAGTAAGTACGACTCCAAACCTTTCGTCTGCAAGATGTTCCGTGCCTACACAATGTATTCAAACCATGCATTACTTTTCCCCCCAGATATATCCGTTCAGAGAGATCCGTGATCCTAATCAACTTCTGCATCTCCATCATCTGCTCCAACGCTCTCATTCTCGTCGGACAAACTCAGGCTCGCAATAAGGTAACGGCGACTTTCTGAGCCACGGCCCAGTAGCTTCTCCCTTAGCGAAACTTCAGCACTTAACGCTTATCTCTCCTCTTTCCTGTATCTGCTTTGCCACAGGTGGTGTGCACTCTGGTCGCCGCTCTCCTCCATTTCTTCTTCCTCTCGTCTTTCTGCTGGGTGCTGACAGAAGCTTGGCAGTCCTACATGGCTGTCACCGGTCGTCTGCGCAACCGCATTATCCGCAAGCGCTTCTTGTGCCTTGGCTGGGGTAAGAGACATCTCCACAGCTTGTTTCACACACACACACATTCATGATTCCTTGTAAATATCTCGCTAATAATCATTTCCACTTTTAAAACTAAAATATTCAATGCTTTGTCTTTCAGGATTGCCCGCTTTGGTTGTGGCTGTATCTGTTGGCTTCACAAAGGCGAAAGGATACGGCACCGTCACTTAGTAAGCTTTGAATAATTGACAATTTTCCAATCCCTAAGCCCTTCTCTCGAATGCAATCTTAACATTTCTCTATTCTTCTTCAGCTGCTGGCTCTCTCTTGAAGGCGGACTCCTCTACGCCTTTGTTGGTCCCGCCGCTGCTGTCGTCCTGGTACGTCTACAAACCCTGGAGCATTTTGAAAATACATTCTCCAAAAGCTTATAAATGCATTACCAGTTATTACTTCATCTAATCCTTATTGCTTGTTCCTTTTCTCACAGGTGAATATGGTCATTGGTATTCTGGTCTTCAACAAGCTGGTGTCCAAGGACGGCATCACCGACGTTAAGCTGAAGGAGAGAGCGGGGTAGGTCCTATTGATCAGACTCTTGTCACAAATGGGACTAGTTTATTGATAACGCACTTTGGGTATCAGATAGAAGGATCATGTGAAATCAAAGTAGTTAATCATCTTTGCCTTTTTGTCTATAGAGCGTCTCTGTGGAGCTCCTGTGTGGTTCTGCCCCTCCTGGCTCTCACTTGGATGTCTGCAGTCTTGGCTATCACCGACCGCCGCTCCGCCCTGTTTCAGATCTTGTTTGCCGTTTTCGACTCCCTGGAGGGTTTCATCATTGTCATGGTGCACTGCATTCTCCGCCGCGAGGTAAGCAATAAGATAGATTAGCCGGAAAATGAGACTGGGGAGTTTGTTTTTGCCATTTCTTTTATGGAGGTTATGAGGCCTGTGATTAAAAAGCTATCTCCACTGTCTGTTAGGTCCAAGAGGCTGTAAAGTGCAGAGTCGTGGATCGCAAAGACGACGGAGACTCCGGCAGCTCCCATCACAACAGCCACTCGCAGCATATGGTAAATTTCTTGGCTTTCTGCCTTTTTAATGTCTTGAGTGCTTCTTGCATTTTTACCTCTAAATTAATACATGCACTCGGCTTAATCAGCGTTATTTCTCTTTTATCAGCAGTCGGACAATGAAAAGGATGGAGATTCAGGCAGACAAGGTAAAGCTACTCTCTCATTTGCCCTTAACCATTTTTCCATTAACGTCAATCACCAAAGTTGAAAAATTGTTCAAAGTGGATAGATTGTTCCAACCTAAATGGCATTTCTCTTTGACTTCAAAAGGCATGAAGAGTTCGTCTGAAGAGAAGATGGGGGGTCCTCACCACCCTCTCCCCATGGGTTCTAACTTCCACACCCTGCCCTCCAAACCCAGCAAGAGCCACATGCAGGCCGTGCCCGAATACTCCAGCCACACCTTGACTCTCAAACGCGACAAGGGGCTGGTCGCTGGAGGCGTGGACCCTTCATGCGGAAAACCCGTCTACGTGTGCGAAGGCGAGCTTTTCCAACAGCTCGACGCAGATTTAGCTCGAGTCCAAGCCGAGGGGAGCATGTCGGACGGCAGCGGGTACATCCTCATGCCCAATACCACCTCCACGCTGCGCAAAGCAAAAGACGATCCCACCAAGTACAACATCGCCGTGGAGCAGATGCCTCAGGCCAGACTCATGCATCTGGGCGGGCCTTACGCAGAGCCACAGACCGCTTTTGGAATCCAAGGCATCCCCCCGGATCAAGTCAGCATGTCCTATTCCGAACGGGACTCCCCCATTCAGAACATCCACAACATGTCCAGCGAGTCGCACATCACCCACAGCAGCCTGGAGAACACTTTTGAATCCATGAACTCCATGATGTCCAAGAGCGAGACCATCTCCACCCTCTCCATGAGCTCTCTCGAGGTATTTTTCAATCAATTCAAGTGATGATTCTGGTGGTATTTTATTACGAAATTAAACCTAAACGCAGTGTGCTTTCTTTATGCGTTGCAGAGGCAAAAATCCCGTTATGCTGAGCTGGATTTCGAGGTAATTATCGTTTTGTCAGTTCCTTGTTCAATCCATTTCCATTCATGTGTTTAGTGCTTTGCCCTAATCAATGTCGGCTTGTTTTTTGCAGAAGATAATGCACACCAAGAAACGCCATCAGAACATGTTCCAAGACCTCAACAGGAAGCTACATCACGCTGAAAAGGACCGGGAGTCGCCTGCCTCCGATAGCAAGGTAAATATCCAACAACTCCCAAAGTCGTCATCCATTGTCCATTATTCACAAAAGCTACAAGTGAAACAAAAGCATTCAAGAGGCAAATCTAGAGAGAGGTGGTTAGAAATGGCCTGTATCAACCTTGTACTGTGTGGTTGTGGATACATGGAGGTCATCTCTGTGTTTTCTTCCTTCTTACAGTCTGTGAGATGGAGTGTCTCTTCTGGAGGAAGTGACAAAACCAACCACAGCGTGAGTGTTATATTACAACCTCACACTCATTAGAATATTGTCTGTAGGCATACAGCAAAGGATAGATATAAAGAAACCCTTTAGGAAACTCAACTATTTTACTTTAGGGCAAACTTTTGAACTAATGGCCACCAAGCAAACGCCTCCTTATGTTGTCTAACGTGACCAACATTAGCATTCACGAAAACATAAAGTAGCATTTCTTTAATACATATAAAATAATCTCTTCATAGTTATTGAGCGCTACATATTGAGTACTTTTCATCACACAAAAGGTGTTAATTGCCTTTGCACAGTGCAAATTGTTCAGTCATTGCGAATTAAAAAAAATACATTATTGACCAAACAGTGTAATAACTGTGAAAATGGCTTCATAATGTAGACATAACGCAAATGCCTCCAGCGAGAATACTTTTCCTAAATCACTTTCATGAGCACCTGATATAATGAACCCATTTCATATTTGATTTTAAATCCTAGAGTAGCGTTGATGAGAAACACCAGAAATACTCAAGGTGTCTTTTCTTCGCCTTCCTCTTTAGGACAAACAGCAAGCTTCAATGGAGAGGCCATGGGAAGGAGTCCGTGGCATCCCCCAGTCGCCTCCCGCCTGGGTCCGCAAAGACATGGAGCCTCTCGCCGCCTCACCCCTGGAGCTTCACTCGGTCGAATGGGAGAAAACCAGCACCACTATCCCGATGGTGGGACAGGACATTATCGACCTGCAAACCGAAGTCTGAGCCGAACGACATAGGCAGAACGCAAGCTTCCTCATGTTACCTCGGCAACCTTTTACCATTCTAGGATCCTAGCTTACGGGATCCAAAGATGGGAAGAGAAAGTAGGTCCCAGAATCTATGTCTTCAAACCCCTCCATCTGAGCAGGATGGGGTCTGAATGGAGAAAGGGTTGGTGGATGTGGTGCAGTTTTGTGCCGGGATGTTGGATGTAGCCTCACTGTTGTGGACTTGTAGCATCTCCTGAAAGAGTGCTGTGAAAAGCGCGGAGATAGGTGACCATTGACCAGGACTGGGCTGTGGCACCGTCTCACTCTTTGCCTGGAGGTTCCCTGAAGCCACCGTGGTCAGAAGATGTGGTGTTTCTTTTTTCCTCCAACTCAGCTTTGGAAAAGAAAACGTGATTATTAAAGCGGCGGCGCGTCCTTCCTGCATCTTGAGGGAGGCGCCCGCGGCTGAAACTATGGCTGCTCTCTCTCAGCCTCAGTTACCTTCCATTAAACTACAAGGCAGAAGAGCAAAAAGGACATCAGCAGCTGCACTGGGGACGACGGGCGCGCACTTTTCAGTTTGGTCTTTCCGGCTTCTTCAATGGACTGGTCTGAATAAAGACTCTGTGAGAGACTTCAGATCCAAAACACCATTGTTATTATTACAACGATTATTGTCAGTGTGAAAATGAACTTACTCTGATTTCCTGTAATGTTTTATTTTATCCACAGCTGTCCGCCACAAATTGAAATTATTTTTCTATGTTTGGATCTGTGTGATGTGTTGTCGGCCCGTTTGGACTGCATTGGGATAAACTATTGCGTGGTGATGGTTTGGTGAATGACCTGAATGTCCTGGTTTTGTTTTGCTTTATTACCAAAACACCAGCACCAGGAACACAGACTCTTACACAGGAAGAGCAGTGCACTCTGGGATACGCTGGATTTAAGTGGCACAAGATGCAGGCTCTTCCAAGTGGTACTTGAGGATTTTGGGTCAGATTTGGACATCGCCCCTTCGTTTCTCAGCCTTGCAGGACTCTGGACTGAGACTTCTGCTGCAGCTTCCACAGCAGCAGGTCCGACTTCAACACATTTGTGTTTTAGCCATCAGTATGAACTGTGCAATATGATGGGTGCTTGATGCTCAAGCAAGACCGATATTATACCATTTAGACAGTTTTTCTTACCAATGTTTCAAACTTTTATACCATCGTCCTCATATAGATGCTTTATGAGAATACTGTATAACAAATCTGTATTAGTAATTCAAAGAATTTATTCACTAGAGATTTGTTAGCACACGACTCCATGTACGGAGCCTCTGTGACGGTAGAAAACTGTACTTCAATAACACATGGATGAATGAAGTGTGCGTCAGGACGAGTCAGTAACTCCGTATGTTACCAGCCTTTAGCCCATACCTCGAGTTACTCCAACACCATTTGTTTTACTGTCCCTTTGTTTTGTATGTTTCCTCCGTCATGTACAGTTTTCACAGCACAACGTGAATATTGAGTATTTATAATAAAAACAAAACCTTATTGAATTCAACAGTTCTCTGTGATAATCATTCTTTATCAGATGTTTGTACGGCGCATGACTTTGACACTATCTTTTTATTTTGACAGATATTCTTAAAATAAAACTTCATCAAAGCTAGACAGAGACAGAACAGAACACGGAGAAGAGAAGCCGTGACATTTCTCATAACTCCACATTAAAGCCTGCGGCGGCTCTGCCCTAAATATAGACATGATTTGCAGGAACAAAAAGCATCCGTCTCTAAAGATGATAAAAGTCCAATTTTTCCTCTGTTCTATTTTCTCTCCTGATCGTTTCAGCGAGACCTGCTCCGAGCCTGAGTAATGAGCAAACACACAGACTGGACAGAGGTTGTGCGACTGCGACTGCCTGAAAATAGGAAATGTTCTTTAACTGTATCTGCAGTTGCTTCGTCAACACTTTACGACACCATCTCCATAATCACCTCCTGGTTTTTATCGAACACAGTCATTTGGCTGCGGCACAAACGCTTGTGAAGAGCTGCACATTACGTGGAGTCGTCTGTGGAGCAAATGTGCAGAAATACAGCATAAAATACATCGAACAGGTCTCCAAATCTCTGCTCTCTCTGGTCTCTCTCTGGTCTCTCTCTGGGCTCTCTCTGGTCTCTCTCTGGTCTCTCTCTCTGCCCTCTCTCTGGTCTCTCTCTGGTCTCTCTCTGGTCTCTCTCTGGTCTCTCTCTCTGGTCTCTCTCTCTGGTCTCTCTCTGGTCTCTCTCTGGCCGCTCTCTTTGGTCTCTCTCTGGTCTCTCTCTGGTCTCTCTCTGGTCTCTCTCTGGTCTCTCTCTCTTCCCTCTCTCTGGTCTCTCTCTGGTCTCTCTCTGGTCTCTCTCTGGTCTCTCTCTGGTCTCTCTCTGGTCTCTCTCTCTGGTCTCTCTCTCTGGTCTCTCTCTGGTCTCTCTCTCTGGTCTCTCTCTGGTCTCTCTCTCTGGTCTCTCTCTCTGGTCTCTCTCTGGTCTCTCTCTCTCTTCCCTCTCTCTGGTCTCTCTCTGGTCTCTCTCTGGTCTCTCTCTCTGGTCTCTCTCTCTGGTCTCTCTCTGGTCTCTCTCTCTGGTCTCTCTCTGGTCTCTCTCTCTGGTCTCTCTCTCTGGTCTCTCTCTCTGGTCTCTCTCTGGTCTCTCTCTGGTCTCTCTCTCTGGTCTCTCTCTGCCCTCTCTCTGGTCTCTCTCTCTGGTCTCTCTCTCTGGTCTCTCTCTGGTCTCTCTCTCTGGTCTCTCTCTCTGGTCTCTCTCTGGTCTCTCTCTCTGGTCTCTCTCTGGTCTCTCTCTCTGGTCTCTCTCTCTGCCCTCTCTCTGGTCTCTCTCTCTGGTCTCTCTCTCTGCCCTCTCTCTGGTCTCTCTCTGGTCTCTCTCTGGTCTCTCTCTGGTCTCTCTCTGGTCTCTCTCTGGTCTCTCTCTCTGGTCTCTCTCTGGTCTCTCTCTCTGGTCTCTCTCTGGTCTCTCTCTCTGGTCTCTCTCTCTGGTCTCTCTCTCTGGTCTCTCTCTGGTCTCTCTCTGGTCTCTCTCTCTGGTCTCTCTCTCTGGTCTCTCTCTGGTCTCTCTCTCTGCCCTCTCTCTGGTCTCTCTCTGGTCTCTCTCTCTGGTCTCTCTCTCTGGTCTCTCTCTGGTCTCCCTCTCTGGTCTCTCTCTGCCCTCTCTCTGGTCTCTTTCTGGTCTCTCTCTCTGGTCTCTCTCTCTGGTCTCTCTCTGGTGTCTCTCTCTGGTCTCTCTGGTCTCTCTCTCTGGTCTTTCTCTCTGCCCTCTCTCTGGTCTCTCTCTCTGGTCTCTCTCTCTGGTCTCTCTCTGGTCTCTCTCTCTGGTCTCTCTCTGCCCTCTCTCTGGTCTCTCTCTCTCTGGTCTCTCTCTCTGGTCTCTCTCTCTGGTCTCTCTCTGGTCTCTCTCTCTGGTCTCTCTCTCTGCCCTCTCTCTGGTCTCTCTCTCTCTGGTCTCTCTCTGGTCTCTCTCTCTGGTCTCTCTCTGGTCTCTCTCTCTGGTCTCTCTCTGGTCTCTCTCTCTGGTCTCTCTCTGCCCTCTCTCTGGTCTCTCTCTCTGCCCTCTCTCTGGTCTCTCTCTCTGCCCTCTCTCTGGTCTCTCTCTCTGGTCTCTCTCTGGTCTCTCTCTCTGGTCTCTCTCTGGTCTCTCTCTCTCTGGTCTCTCTCTGGTCTCTCTCTCTGGTCTCTCTCTGGTCTCTCTCTCTGGTCTCTCTCTGCCCTCTCTCTGGTCTCTCTCTCTGCCCTCTCTCTGGTCTCGCTCTCTGGTCTCTCTCTGGTCTCTCTCTCTGCCCTCTCTCTGGTCTCGCTCTCTGGTCTCTCTCTGGTCTCTCTCTCTGGTCTCTCTCTGCCCTCTCTCTGGTCTCTCTCTCTGCCCTCTCTGTCCAAACACCAAGCCTTCGTTAATCGTTTCTTACATTTGACATTACATTGGGCAGCACGGTGGCTGAGTGGTTAACCCTCTCGGTTCGAACAGGGTCTTTCTGAGTGGAGTTTGCATGTTCTCCCCGTGTCTGCGTAGGTTTCCTCCGGGTGCTCCAGTTTCCCCTACCACTAAAAACATGAACACTAGGTAAAATCTTCCAACACCGGTCCTGACCAAGAGCACCAACATTTGGAGATGGTTCCTGGGCGCTGTTGCTACGGCGACCACTGCTCCTGACGGAAACCTTAGTGGCATCAGGATCTGGGTCAAGCGCAGAGGAAGAATTGTGTGTGTGTATTTACATATTTATATTATCATACTTTTGCTTTTTTTCTCTATTTTTTGTCTTTTTTTCCATATGTCTGTGTGAATGTGGGGATTATGTTTAAAAAAGCAATACAAAATAATGCTTAAAAAAAATAAAAAAATACTTCAGTGCACCTTCACCTTTAGCTTATAATAAACAAAAAGGAAAATATTGATTCAGTTATTGATCCATGCTCGTGTCGTTCTGAACCCGGCGTTCCATTAAAATGAACTGTTTTGTTTGTTTTTAACCGTTTATTTCTCATTAAAAATGAGTTTTGTACGTTAGGCCGGAGGCTGGTAAACAGAGATGTTCCAGTTAATTAGTGCCTCTGGATTGTTACAAAAACATTTCACAAGATTAGACTCAGGTTTGGCTAAAAATGTTTGTTTAACCAAGAACATGTTTGCTGTTCCCTCGTTCTGGGCTGATTACATTTATGTTTGTGAAAAAGTAGAAATATTGCACCAACTGGAAAAGATCTTATTTGACTTAAAGATGCAGTCACTAAATGTAAATGTGCACTTTATTAACCCCCTTAGGGAACTTCCTCCTCTGCATTTGACCCTGATCCCGATGCACGATGGCTGACGTCAGGAGCAGTGGTCGCCGTAGTAACAGCGCCCGGGAACCCATCTCCAGATGTTGATGTTCAGCTTGGTCAGGACCGGTGTTGGTATGGATTATCCCCTTATCTGATATCCATGTCCTCCTCCATGGGGGCTGACCTGCTCCTGGCTGACCCCCCTGACCCATCCAGTGGAACCTGAAAGTGACCTCACAGCAGTGTATACAGAGCTGGGATGGACTAGTTTGGGCTCTTGGTCGGTGTCAACTCTCTATGTACCATGTAGCAGCCTAATACTGAGGTCCAGAGCCTGCAGGTTCTCTCTCTCTCTCTCTTTGGGGGATGATATTTTCTGTTATGTCTGTATGTATCTTATTATAATTCAGTGTTATAAAATGTCCTCTTTTATATCTATTGGTTTGGGCCTAGTGTGTACAGCAGCGATTACATTTTCATGATAACAGAATGGGGTCACGTTCGGAGCTGGAGGATTTAACCTATAGTGCATGTTTTTAGTGGTAGAGGAAACCGGAGTGCCCGGAGCAAACCTACGCAGACACGGGGAGAACATGCAAACTCCACTCAGAAAGGCCCTGGTCCGATCGGGATTTG